CAAAACAAAGCATAAACCAATGCCAGGGGAAATATGTTCTGGACTTATTGGAAGAAACAAGACTATTAGGTGCTAAGCCAGCTGAAACTTCCATGGAACCAAATGTGAAGTTGGGCAGTGATATAGGTGAATTATTTGATGATCCTAGAAGGTATAGAAGGCTAGTGGGAAAACTTAATTAGTTAACTATTTCTAGACCAGATATCTCATTTGTTGTTAGTGTGGTAAGCCAATTTATGCAAAGCCCTCGAGTTCCTAACTGGGATGCAGTTCTTAGAATTGTGCAGTATTTGAAGGGGGCTCCGGGTCGTGGGTTACTGTACAAGCCAGGAGGTAGTCTCGAAATAATTGGCTATACAGATGTAGATTGGGCAGGCTTAGTATCTGATAGGAGATCCACTACAGGTTATTGTACATTTCTTGGAGGAAATCTAATGACATGGAGGAGCAAGAAGCGAATTGTTGTTGCAAGGAGTAGTGCAGAAGCAGAATACAGGGCCATGACACACACTACATGTGAACTAGTGTGGTTGAAAAATCTTTTGCAAGAAGTTGGGTTCTCAATAAGCAAACTCATGAAGTTATACTGTGACAACCAAGCTGCAATTCACATCGCATCTAATCTAGTTTTTTCATGAGAGGACTAAGCACATAGAGGTAGATTGCCATTTTTTGTAAAGGAAAAAGTCCTTAATGGTGTCATAAGTACAGAATATGTGAGAACAGGTGATCAGTGGGTAGACTCGTTTACAAAAGGGTTGAGTTCGGGAAGAGTGAGCTATGTATGTAACAAGATGGGACTATACAATATATATTCTCTAGCTTGAGGGGGAGTGTTAGAGTTAGATAAGGAAGGGTATTTCAGTCTTTTCATCATCTGTTTAAGTTTTATGTTAGTTACATGTCCCATACTTAAGTAGGGGTATATTTGACTTTGTGCTTTATTTTTGATGTGTGTGTATATATATATATATATATTTATTTATATATATAGTCGATTGGGAGAGTCTTTTAGATTTCTCAGTTAGACACCTCTTTCTCCTCTCTTCTTCTTTCTCTCCTCTCTCTGTCTCTCTGTCTCTCTGTCTCTCTGAAATTAGTTCAACAGATTTATTTTCACAGACTCTAAAGAATTAAAAGGACCATTTTCACCCTCAAAATTTGATGGAAAGGCTGCTTTAAGGCAAAAGCAGACAACGTTAGAGACGTCATTGACGGGTTTGTTAGAAAATGAATAAAATAATAAAGCATGCTTATGTGACACTTCTCAAGTTTGAAAAAGGCCACTTTAGAAGTTAATCTAAGTTAAAAAATAAATTTTATTAACCTTAAGTAAATTACTTCAAGGATTTTCTCAAACTAGAGCCATTAAGTTAACAAGAATTAATTTAATAGTAAATGGTTAACAATAATTAGGAGCAAATTAATACTTAAACACTAACTTTATTAGCTTAACTAATAGTAGATTGACAATCACTTAATTTACTTAATTAACTTAGCCCACATAGTAACTCGATTTTCTTAATTAAACTACTTTACTTAATTTCTTTAATTATTTTATTTACTTATCTTAATTTACTTATTTACCTTAATTAGCTTTGATTATTTAATTACTCTGTTTACTTAGCCTAATTTACTTAATTGAATTAATTGATTGCTTAACTTACATAGTTGGATTGATTTACTTAATTGTCTTAATTAGTGTTGTTTATTTAATTTACTTAATTAACTTTATACCATCATAGACCCTAAAGTAATTTACTTAATTAGCTTTATTAAAGTGACTTTTTCAAACTTGAGCAGTGCCACATAAGCTTGCTTTATTATTTTATTCATTGTCTAACAGATCTGCCGGTGACGTCTTTATTCTTTAACATTGTCCGTTTTGCCTTGAAGTTTCCTTTCCATCATAGTTTGAGGGCAAAAATGGCTCTTTTAATTCTTTAGGGTCTAAAGTGGTTTTTTTTTTTGCAAAGTTAAAGAGTTGTTAGAGCCAAATATCCAAAATATTGCAATAAAGACAAAAATGGTTTTTAAAGACTCAAAGGACACATGACCTAACTGACGGTTCCTTAATAGATATGGTCATTATTACACTAACTCATAGACTGACTCATGAGATCCATAAACTTAGATGTCTCCAACCTAGCTTTACCATTCAAAATATAGAGACCATCAACCACGTGACCCTTTCCAATCATTCTCTCCGAGGAGAAATCTTGAAAAACACAAGAATTGGGAAGAAAGGTTATGGAACAATTGTGAAATTTAGTAATAATGCTAATGGACATAAGATTAATTGGTAATTTTGGAGCATGGCAGATAGGTAATATAAAATTGACACTAGGGTGGAATATGGTTCCTTGATCAACAATGGTGGAGAAGGAACCATTTGCTAGTCTCACCTTACCCCTTCTAGATAAAGATGGTAGCAAGAAAAAGGATCAGGCTTACCAGTCATGTGGCTGGAAGCCCTGGAGTTGATAATTGAGGGATCACTAGGAATAGAAAAAAAACATCAAGTGAAGTGGCCTAGTTACCTGAGCTGGTGGCATAAGAAGTGGAAAGGCCTATTACCTGTGCCCTCTAAATGACAAAGTACCCTATTATACTACTTCAAAGGGTCACACATAGGACTATGTAAAACCTCCCTTGGTACAAACCCATTGAGTGACTTTGAGCAGGCACAGTAGAGTGAGTAGGCTGGTCATCCATGAATATATGTGCCGGTTGTCACATTATCTGAGTTAACCTTCTTCCCTGGCTTCTTCTAGAACTTCTTAGGCTTCCCCACTAAGTCCTAACAATTCTCCTTAATTTGTTTCATCTTCTCACATTGAGTATACCACAGTTTGTCTTTGTCATCTTCTTTAGTCTTCTTAGATTGTTTAACCTTTTTACTATCACCCTTAGCCATGAGAATAATTTGCTCCCCCTAAGGAGGATTCATGGCATTCCTCATCTCTTTTGACTGCATCAGTGTGTACACCTCCTGTATGTTGGGTAATTCCTTGCTTCTTAGTATCTACACCCTGATAGGCTCATATATAGGATTAAGACCAGCAAGGAAAGCAAACGCCCATTGATCTGAAACAAGACACTTGTAAGCCTTTGCATCCTCAGTCCTCACATCCCCACTCGATGGACTGATAGTGATCTAACTCTTTCCACAATCCACATAGATGTAAGAGTGAAAAAATATGTTTAAAGAGATTTGTCACCTTTTGATTACAAGATGAGTACTCCATTTGTAATTAATACACTTTTGGATGATGTCTTTGTTCAGAGTAGGTAGCCTTTGCTTGGTCCCAAATCTCCTTTGCCGTCTCAGTTCACATGGAGTTTTCCTAAGAGAAGGCTGTATGGAGGTCAACAACCAAGACATAATCATGTGGTTCTCTTGTTCCCACCTATTATGTGTAGGACCACTTTCCTGGGGTTTTACAACTCTTCCGGTCAGGTGTCTGAGTTTTCCTCTCTCTCCAATAAACAATTTTACCTCTTTAGCCCAGTCTAGATAGTTCAGTCTATCTTGTGGGGTGATGGAGACAGGAACAAACATATTTTCAGTACCAGGACTACCACAAGATTGAGTTCCTGTTACACTAGAAGTAGCTGAATTATCCATTGTCATATTCCTCTTCAATGGCCTATAGGGCAACAAGTTCATTTCTGCCAAGCTTCAAATACATACCCAGTAGTATGCAAGATTGAGTTCCTGTTACACTAGAAGTAGCTGAATTATCCATTGTCATATTCCTCTTCAATGGTCTATAGGGCAACAAGTTCATTTCTGCCAAGCTTCATAAACATACCCAGTAGTATGCAGGCAAGCCAAAACACTACACTGCCAGGCCAAAGAAGGTTATCTTCAGGGTTGCCAAACCCAGTCTAGGTCTGTCAGTGACTTCTTTCACCCAAACAGCCTTCAGACACACTTCAACAAGTGATACACCAACCTTGACAAAGCAGGTGATTCAATTCATCACTTCCAGTCAACCTCTCAACACTGCAGATCTACTTAGGAGGGAAAGAAATAACTTTTCGCAAGTCTGTGCACAGACTTAATGGCAGGTGAGTCAAAACATCGCTTCCAAGCAACCTTTCAGCACTGCCTCTACTTAGGAGGAAAGAAATAACTTTTCACAAGTCTGTATTTAATGGTTTAATAGCAGCAGTTACCCATCATAGCCCACCCATAAGTATTAGGGATACCCCCACAAAATCTGGATATCAACAACTCTAGGCCTACACCTGCTACTGAGAAAAAAATTCAAAAAGCTTGCATAACAGGTCCTTCTACATCACTCAACCTGTGTTCGGATCTGAATGAACCACCTTGGTATTTGCAACCAAGGAAAAAAGGAAAAAAGAATGACTAGATGGTCATTTTGAATAATTACTATCTTCCCTTCCAATCAATCCCACAAACAGGAGAGAACCACGGATAAAAAAAAATATGAGAACTGGAAAGATGATCCAATCAGATCTCCTTGTCTGATACCATGAAAGCAGCCTTCAAGTCTTGAAGGAAGAGAGAAATCAGAAGAAGACTGAGTGTGGGGGTGCCCACTCCTTATTTATTAGAATGAGCATAATAAGAGATGAAAGGACTAATATATCCCTACGTCACTAATAACATATACAACATGTGTCTGTTGTGTTGGATTCTCATATAAAAAAGTTAAATAAGTATCATTTAAACTACTTAGTTGAAAGGTTGTCCCTTTTCTCATCATCATCCATGCCTTATCCCAATACTTTTCTAATTTCTTTTTATATATTTATTGAAGGCAGGCAACCACTACTGACAAGTTGCATTTATTGCTGATTTCCAATTTTGACTTGTTAATTTAAAACAGGGAACCTCCTGCTGTTTACACCTCATGCTTTAGGCAAATGAAGTGTCTTGCTGGCATCTTTCTATTTAACTTAGATATGTTGTCCTCATGTTCAGGTTCTTACCCTTTTAATTTGTTAATCGACTTTATGAAGCATAGGTTATTGGTGTGGAACCTGCAGAAAGCAACATCCTTTCTGGGGGAAAGCCTGGTAAAGCCAACATACCTTTTAAACTGACTTTCTTTTAAATAATGCTTCTTTCAGGTTTATTTTATGCAATCTATCTCTTCTTGCCATAATGCAGGTCCACACAAGATTCAAGGGATTGGGGCAGGTTTTGTGCCCAAGAATTTAGACAATGAAGTACTTGATGAAGTCTTAGAGGTATAAATCTAATCTCTTCCTATATTTATACTTCTGTTCTGTTCCATTCTACTTTCTGTTATTAAACATTATTTTTTCTTATTAATTTGGTACCTTTCTGTCACACCAATAATGCATAACCAAGAATTCTTATGTTTTTATTATAGTTATTCCAGCTAATGTTTAGGATCTCAATATCTAACTTGATCAAGTCAGTATTGCACTCTGTTGAGTTGGGTGGACAGAGCTTGACTCAACTGATAGATGCGATTCAGTATGATTTTACCAGTACTGTGAATTTGGCCAACTGACAAGTCAATGGTTACCTAATGTTGCTCCTGGCTATCCAAGGGTCTTGAGAGGGGTGGGCTGAATAAGGACGTAACATTTGATACTTTCTTGCACAAAGTGGTCAATCTCAGAGTCAAACCTAAATTCTCATGCTTGTGAGCCTGGGATTTACAAAAAGGGGAATAAGCCACTTTGGGAAAGAGATCCCCTCTCTCCTTGTGTGTATATGTTTATAGTGCATAAAAGAATGTCAACTGGTATTTTCAAATTCAGTGTTACTGGTAAAATAGTTTAGTGGCTGAAATTATACATTCATAAATAGCAATGCGCACCGTTAAAGGGTAACTACCCAATGTTAGTCCTAGATAAGGGGTGGAGAGGGTAGGACCTAACCTTTGTTTTTTGTTTTTTGTTTTTTTTACACAAAGTGACCAACTCAAACTGGCATTGTCACACTTGTCAGCCCAAGATTTTACTACCCCACCAAACTCTACTTTGTATTGATGCTGTAGATTGCCTTTTCACATGATCAAACCATTTTAGTCTACTTTCTCTCATCTTGTCAACTACCAGGACTACTCTTACATTCTTATGGATATGTTAATGTTGGTCTTTATCTTTTCTAGTTTTTCCACTCATCCATTTAAAGATTTGCATCTCTGCTAGACTCATTTTTTTGGGTGTATTCAGTATCTTTTTTTTTTTAATCATTAACAGATTGGGTGTATTCAGTATTGTTGAAAGCCAAATGCTTTCATGCATATGACATTGTTTGCTTTAGCCATTTATAAAATTTTCCATTTAATATCAGCGGTATTCTACTATCATATAAGACTCTTGATATGTTCCTCCATTTTCTCCATAACACTCTAATTCTGTGGTTGATGCCCACTTTGGTGTCTCTGTTATTATGAATCATCAAACCAAGGTGACAAAAGATGCCTCGCTGAGGCACTCTTGGTCTCCAATCTTGATCATACCCTGATTTCGGATCCTATTATTATTATTTATTATTATTATTATTATTATTATTATTATTATTATTATTATTACATTTAGGGATTATCTCTATAATCTGACTTTGCATTTAGTTCCCCTCTGGTTTCATTCAATAATATCATGCCATTGGTGGGCAGCATGCATCATGGGATAGTGTTGAGGCCTACAAGTATCTCACATGTTTCTCTTGCTAGCCTCTATTTATGGGACAAATTTCAACCCAAAATACTAGCCATGTGTCTCAAGTTGAAACTTGTGGGCAATTTCTTAATTAAAAAATTGAAACTGTGGATGGTTCATAGAACTTGGGCTAACTGCCAATGCAAGTTGGTTATGGGGCTGATGTTGATTTGGGAACTTGTGGACAATCCAGGGGATCCCCTATCAGATCAATAGTTCAGATTGGCCATCACCATTCTACTTGGCAGAAAGGACGAGTTGCATTGGATTTTGGAAAGAGCCCTAGTTGGACCAATTAAAATCCTCTTTTTGATAAGTAATAATAACCAATTAAAATCCTCTTTTTCCATGATGGCTGTATGGGTTGCACATGCTATTGGTTTGGGCTGTGCATGTAACAACCTAGGGGAGTAGTCGTAAGAGACAATAACAGCAACATTCTACTTAGCTTGCCAGACCCGTTTGGGCAAAGAAACTCTTTAAAGGCAGAGCTTCTAGCCCTTATCCATGGTTTAAAGCTGTTTCCATGCAAGGGTGGACAGAGGTATTAGTATAGGAGACTTTCAAACAGTTGTATCATGGATGAGAGCTGAATACGAAATTCTTTGGGTTTTTAGGCCATTATTTAGACAGGTGCAACTAGGTAAAAATTTGAATGGCTTATTCAAGCGGGTGCCTAGGACTGCAAATGAAAGAAGTATTCTTGAATCTTAATACAATGGAGAGCAAGATGGAGAGAGAAAAAGAGAACGAATTAACTGTATAACACAATGGTACGAAATAATAGCTAAGCAAGGAGTCGAGAGGGAGTTACTGTTTTGGGCACAAGTGTAATATTTTCCTTTTTCTGTTCTTGGGAGCTCAAACTCCAGCTGGAAGATAAGAAAGTTTATCTTTATCCTTGTAATATTTTTGTGATTAATTAATGAAATGTGGTTATTGATAAAAAAAAGGTATGAAATAAAGGAGGATTTGTCCATGAAGGGGAGTGGTGGGTAGAATGAAAAAATCACAAGTGATTTTTTTTGATAAATAAAATCACAAGTGACTTTTGTGGACCTAGGGCAGGATAGGAAAGATTAATTGGAAAAGGGATTATAGGAGGAAGGAGGTTGGTGGATTAGGTTTAGGGTGATTAAAGGAAAAAAAACATATATCTTTTGGGGAAGTGGTTGTGGAGGTTTCCTATGGGGGAGAGAGAGAGAGAGTCATTTGTGGTATTTTGTGATTGAAAGCATCTATGGACTGGACTCAAATGGGTGGGACTCTGCATTCAATAGAAGTAACACCCTCAAGAGTCCTTGGTGTGAGAGATTGGATAAACATACAGTGACAATGAGATCTCTGTACCTCATTACGAGTTTGAAATAAGTGTAATCATGCTAGACCCAGCGAGTCCCTATGGTGCTCGTGGGATCATTCCTTTGTGCAACAAGAGGTCTCATGCGAAGACGGTCTCACTCCTGGAAGACTTGCATGACATGAGTCCCCGATGAAAACACTTTAGGAGCTGCCGTTAGGATTAACCAGATTTGGACACGTGGCAGAGTAATGGAGTCCAGGGAGATCGTGCGTGACAGTACTTGGTATCTCCGGACATGTGTCTCTACTTGTATATCTCCCAAGAATGCAATCGGTACAGTGGACCCCTGAGGACACGTCCTTTTTCAAGGAAAGCATGGGATTTGTTCCTTGCTTGCTCACACAAGGGGAGAATATTCTAGAACAATCTCAACCGTACATGATTTCATGGCAAGCTTCCTCTATAAATAGAGGACCTGAGCTCTTGTTCAGGGCCTTCTTTTTTTTTTTTATAAATAAGATGAGCTTTTATTAGACTTTAAGATAAGACTTACAAGCATCCTTTAGAGAGGCATGAGATGCTACCTCTCTATAAAAATCGAAGAGCAAAGAAAATTAAATAGAGTCCAAAACAATGCATCCCTATTCACCCCTTGCTTAGCCAAAGCATCAGCCATCCCATTTGCAGATCTCCTCACCCACTGTATCCTGAGATTCATATTCCTAGTAAGCCACTTAAACTTCTTCATTTCATTTCTGTAGCACCAGGTTATAGAGTCCGGGTCCTTTAGCCAGCCCACCACCACTTTTGAATCCCCTTCTGTCACCAAATTTGCTAACTGTAATTCATTGGCAATCTGCACCCCTTGTAATGCTGCCAGCAACTCTGCTTTGAGAGAGTCACCCAAGCCCATGGGGCTGGAAAAAAAGGCTATAAGTTTACCTTCTGAATCTCTCAATACCCCTCTTATACCCGAGGGGCCTGGATTTCCTTGGCTGCTCCCATCGAAATTCAGTTTAACGAAGCCTTCCATTGGAGGTGACCATTGCATCTCCACACATTCCTTTCTTGAAGTGTCTTTTGCAATTACTTCCCAATTCCTCCAAACATCATCAACGGAGAATTGGGAGAACAACTCCAAAGTCCTCACCCAATGGACCACCCTGACCATTGCACAATCCCTAACAGCTTCTTTGCTTCTTTGTTCAGGGCCTTTTTAATACTTAATATCTTTTCAACACTCTGTTGCATCCTTTGCTCTATGCCCAAACTTTCATCTCCAGGCCTTGCACCACTTAATCCCTTATGTTCTCTATCCCTGGTTTTCTAATTCCAACTTTCATAGCTCTTGGACTAACTCATCTTGTCGGCATACACCTGAAATATTAATACTTGCTACTTTTCTACAATAAATATGTCATAATACTATATTTTGTACTAGGGTGAAATTCTGGGGCACCTGTGTTGGGGTGCTTCGGGAGACTCTCCTTTAAGCCAAACCTTTCCAAGAATTAAATAATCTCTCAACCTTCAAACACAAGGTCATTGCTGAATTTGCTGGTCAAGATAGCCTGGTTTTTCTTGGAACCTAGGTCTAAGAATGGGACTGAGGCTGAAATTCCCAAGCTTGTGAGGTTGTTAGATATTCTTGCAAAGGTCTCTTGGATCTTCTGGGGTGGATGAGAGAGTTTGGGGCCAAGTACGACTCACAGACCCTTATCCAGCCAAAGCATTGTGGTCAGGCCCTGTGCCTCCTAAAGGAGAGGTGTTTTGTTAGGACTTAGGAGGCAGATGATATGATTACAAATACATGTTATAGTCTCCAGAAGAAATGGAAATACTGGTGTATCTCACCTCATGTGGTGACGACACTACTCACCTTGCAACTTGCCAATATTGATGTTTAGACATGGAACCACTTTTCTCTTCTCTTGGAGGGTAGCTGGATGGCCCATTCATCCATTTTGGAGCTTTTCTCAGACAATATTTTTACATGTTCTACCAAAAGGCAAGAGATTTTATGGCAGCGTAGAAGGGCAGCAATATTATGGGGATTTTGGGGGGAGAGATGCTAGAATTTTTGAGGATAAGGGGCTGGGGTAGCTGCTTTGATAGACCTTTTAAAGATAAGAATTGGGCATTGAACCTTAACATGTGAAAATCAAATGTGTCACCAAGGATGACCTGTTGAGGGATTGGCAGATCGTGGTAGGTTATCAACTGAGAATTCAGAAGAGACATATGGATTGGGTTGCACCTGAAATAGGAAGATTGAAATTCAATTCTGATGGGTGCAGCCTAGGCAACCCAAGGGAATCAGGAATTAGAACTTTTGGCAATCAATTAAACAGCTCATTCAAGTGGATGCCTTGATCTGCTAATGTTTGGCTGACATATTAGCTGAAGGAAAGCCTTTAATGGGGAAAACCATGGCCAGGAGTGGATGTGTAAAATTTTCTTTTTCTGCTTCAAAAATTCTGGTTATAGACAAGGCTTTCCTTGTGTTGCTTTGTATTTCCTTCTCTCTACCTAGCTATTTGGGTAGTAGAGAGCTTTTTTTTTGTTTTAAATTTTTAATTTCTGATTAACAAACATTTCAAATTGCTTGAAACCAGCACTCATAAACGGTTCAAATGAGTTGATGGTTCACATCAGTGATTCACTAAGTCAATGGTTTTGATTTTAATCTGACCAAGTGCCCAGGTCAATGATAGTTTAAAACACTGCTTATTGTTGGGTAAAACTTTCTTATTTGATGAAATCTACTTCCCTTAGCCTTGCAATCTAGAATTCCTTTGAGTCCATCTTAGATGGTTCAATTTGTCCTGCATCATTTATAATTTGATATCTGCTCATGTGTTTGTACACTCTTATTTACAATAATACATTGGAAGTCTGTTCATATGCAACAAGTTGAATTGGTATGTAGCATTTTCCCTTCATATAGCAGGCTTTTCTGTTATTTGGAATCTCATTTTTTAATGAGTTTGTTATGTAACAGATATCCAGTGATGAAGCTGTTGAAATGGCAAAGCAATTGGCTCTTCAAGAAGGGTTGTTGGTAAGTACTAATTTAATCTGTGAAATCGTTATGAAATCAACATTGTCCTGCAAAAGTAAAGTTGCATTTGGATCTTTTAACCTCAAAAGCACTTTGAAGTTTGGATGCCAAATCATTTTTTTTTTAGTTTAAGAAATATATTCTGCTTTTGCTTGTTCTATGATGTTTTTATTGTGGGTGAAAGCTCTTTGCCTTGAACTTAGAACCTTTGTTTTCTCTTTTAATGAAAGTTGTTTTTTTTTTTTCATTATCAAAAAAAAAAAAATCTGAACAGAAGTGAAACCTACCTGCCGTCATTCTGAGCCCTATGAGTACTTTTGGGTGAAGATATTATATTCTCAATTTTCTTCTGGCTCCAGAATTATTTTGTCTTTATTTGTATTTTTTTCTTGAACACAATCAAGGAACAAAATGCTTCTTTTCTTTCCTTCTGTCATTCATTTTCCCCAAACATTGGATATGTTTGGCATTTATATTTTTGAAACCATGTTTATTTTTCATTTCTGATTGTTTAAAAAATATGCATCTGTTACTTGTAGGACAAAGAAGTGGTATTTTCAACCTCATGTCTTTTTTTTTTTTTTTTTCTTTTTAAGCATCTTATGCAAATTGGTCCTTTAATTTCAACAAGTTATTCTTTACCTATGATATATTTTTTCATCAAAGAAAAAATATGGTGCTTTATGATTCTCATAAAGTCCTTAGAGTATATCAGGTATTGTTAACTTATCAATTTAACTTCCAATTAATGTGTCTCATCTTGTGGCTGCACATTAGCTTCATAGTCAACATTAAACCAGGTTCAGTTGATTGGATAATCTCAACTGTTGAAATCTCTAGTTTTTTTTTTCTTGATAAATCGTAGTTTTTCTTTCATTCATTATCTCTATTATTGTTGAACCTTTTAAAGCGATCAAATTGGTTTGGGGTGATTTCGGAGAATTTCTATGAGATTCTGGACTTCATTCCAGGGTTCACCCATTTGGATGCTCCAGATCAATGAGCATGTGCAACACCTTTTTGTTGGATGTAGGAATGATCAAATGTATAATATGGTAGTTAAATCTATTCAGTAAAATTATTCATCCTTTTTCATTAGATGGATTGTTCTTGTTAGTTGTTAAGTTGCTGATCCTTAAATTCTGATCCTTTATGCAGGTTGGCATTTCTTCTGGTGCAGCTGCTACAGCTGCCATCAAGGTTGCAAAGAGACCCGAGAATGCAGGAAAGCTAATTGCGGTATGTATATTCTTGTCTGGCTTCTCTCTGAATTAGGAGTTAGGAAATCAAATTTTATGTTCTCTTGATATGATACGATATCCTGTTAGTAATAAAAAACAACTTTCAAAATAAAATGATATGATATCCTATGTCAAAATTTAAACCTAGGGATGCAAAGTCTCTAATTCTATTATTCAAAACTAGATTGAAATAAAGAGATTAAAAAAATTAAAAAGAAGGATGTTGCTCTTGCGAAAGCTGAGGGTATCCACCTGCAACCAAACAACAAGAAAAAAAAGCTCCCAAATAGCAGAAACAAAGTAGCAAGAATCAGGAGATTAGGAAATGTAAAGAATTTTTTCCATTATCTTTGCACAATGGGCATATGCGAGGAGATAAGCATCAAGTGTTTTTTTTTTTTTTTTTTCCATTGCAAAGTCTTGCAAGTGTTTATTTTATCATGGAAGGCTTCCTAGCAGAAAGCTTGAATTCTAGGTGGCACCAATCCTTGCCAAATGGCCTTAACTGGAAAACAAGCCTTAATAGAGGGGTTGTTGGAAAGTCCAAAAAAAGAGGCACAAGGAAAATAACCAATCTCTAAGCTCTCTTCTAAAGATTCAAATAGAGCCAAAATCTCTGGGGTTTTGCAATCCCGAAACCCTCATCCAAAACCCAAATCTCATGGCAAACCATGATGGAAGGAAACCAATCATCATCATCCAAGCCTTATCCCAACTATATGGGCCTATGGGGTCAGCTACAAAAATCCTGTTTTGATATTCTGTTCCGTTTAATGTCATATCCTTTGTTAAATCCAAGGTTCAAAATATCGATACGTATCGGGCCATATCAGCTGATACGTATCATTATCAGTGACCTAACGATACACCCCTATAGTGGGTGTTTTGAGGACTGACCTGGTTCAGGGGGTAGATGGGGCCTTAAACCAGCCCCTCTGAACCAGTTTGAAAAAAAAACTAAAAAAAATAAAAAAAGCGAAGCTTGATACACCCCAACTTGCATATTGGTCTGTATCGATATTTTGAACCTTGGTTAAATCATTAGCAATTAAATCATTTCTTAGTTCTTACTACTTTCACCCATGTTTTTTATGGGTCTACCCCTACCCTATCTAGCGCCTTCAACTTGCAACAGATCACTTCTTATGGGAGGAAACCTAACTATCAGATAGGAAGCAGATAGGATGTGAAGGTAGAAAGAACAAAGAGGGGAATTTATCTTTAAAAGTCAAATCTTCCCATCAAAGGTCCAATCAAGATCTGGCTTTTCTTCCGGAAAGTTCATACCTAATGAAGCAGAGAAAGGATATGCCCATTAAGTTTTTTGGATAAGATTCATACCAATAATCGATTTCTCAATTTTGGAGATCTCTCCTGAATCATGCATTCCACACAACTCCTTGATTATTTATCTCATAACTGTTCTTGGCCAACATCTCTCTGCTTCCAGCAACATTAAGAGAAGGGAAAATGATGAATTGAATGTCTTGCAATGGCAGCAAACTGAAAATTTTGGGTGAAAACCGAAAGTGAAAATGGCATTGAAAGGGGTAGCAGTTAGAGTGGTGGGGAGGATGAAAGAAAGACTGAAATTCCTAAATTGATGTCTGGTTGAGAGAGCCCTAAACTTAGATCCTGACATTAGATGTGGAGCACTGGGAGTTTTTAGAAGTCAAGTGATAAGATTGGATAGATGGACACCGTTACTAGGGTAAACTGTAGACAAAAGCAGGTACATTTGGGTTGATGTTTATGGTGTTTAAGGCAGTGGGTAGGGGTGGTCATGGGCCAAGCATAGGCTGGGTTTAACACCCATGATAAAGGCTTCAGCCTAGGCCTGGGCTGGGCCCAGGCCGCACCCCAGGTCTAAATTACAAGTCCAGGCGCCAGGCCCGGGCCAGGCTTACAAGTTTTGCAGACCTAATGAAAAATTAATTATTTAGAAAATTTTAAATTAAATAATATACAATACATGAAAAAACATTATACAAGTCCGAACTAGGCTAGGCTTGGCTAGGTTTTGGGCCTGTTGCATAAGAAAAGGCAATGAGCCTCATTTAATTCCTAAACTTGGTTTAGCTTGACTTGCTTGTCCTTTTATAGATGAAGGCAAGGCTTTCATTCCCATTCTTGAGCAACGTGGGATGTGGAACAATACTCAATAGTGAGTGTTACCATTAAGTTTTGTCCCAAGTTCCACATTATGGGAATGAAGACCTTGCTTTCTTTTTAGTGAATGAATAAAAATTTTATTAACCATAAAGATAAGAGTTACAAGCAACCAAGAAAAGGCATGAGATTCAACCTTTCCTTTAAGATTGATCACATATTCTCAAACTTAATTTGAACATTAATTACAAGGTAGTCCAAAATAGGGAATCCCGAGACAGGACTTTCTTTTTCATCTATAAAAGGTCTTGCCTAGGAGGGCAACTCTCATACTTGAGTTGACTCGTGTCAACTCATGAATAGTTAAGTGTTAAAAAATTTATGTTTTATATAAAATTATAAAATAGTACATTAACATAAAATAAAATATATTTGCATATATATAACATATAAAATATATAATTTTAAGTTTATATAATTTATTATATATAATTCATAATATAATATATTATAACATAAAAATATTATATATTTAAGAACACATATTATATTATATTGTGGGTCAGGCTAGGCTTGAAGTGTTGGGCCCAAATCCAGCCTAGAATTTTCTAGGCTTAATGCGAGCATGGGATGGGCCTGGGCCCGAGCTTGGAAATTTACGGGTTGGTCTGGGCTGGGTTTTGGGGCAGAGGCGCAGAGCCAAGAACAATTGCTTGTGGCAGTGGGAGGGTCAAGTGGTTCAATTTTCATAATAAGACATGCAAGCAAATTCAGTTTGTGAGAATTGTCATTGAGACAGAGGAAATCAAATCAATTCCTACATTGTTAGATCTTATTTATTTGGGTGAGATCTTTGAAATATGAATTGTAGTTGCAAGAAACAACCCAACATTTTTACAACTTGATAAGGGTAGGAGTGGGAAAATAAAAGGGGAAGAGGCAAATGATAGTGTTAGGATTTTTGGATAAATGAGAGGTCACTTCGGGAGGCTGAAGATGAAGGTGAAGGGTTGGGGTAGCATTGGGACCACTTGGAAATTTCAAAAGTTAAGAGGACTAATGTGGGAAAAGTTGAGGCCCAATGAAAAGAAAAATAATAAGATAAGCCTTGGCCCAGCCTAAACATTTGAAAAGTCTTAAGGTGTGGGGGTATTGAATGAGGAGCGAGAAATTGAGGAAGGGTTTTAGAATAGAGGAAAGTCGAGGATTGAACAAGGTAGGGGTGCAACTTTGGCAGGCCCAATTTTAGCCCGGATTGAACCAACCCACAATTTTACATGGGTTGTGGGCTTGGCTTTCTGGTCCTCAAGCTAGGCCTGGGCCCAAAAGGCCAAAAGTTCGGGCTTTCTTATTTTGTGGGCCAGGCTCGGGCCTAGTCTTTAGGTAGCTTGAACCCAACCTTAGCCCAACCCTATCTTATTCTAACCTGAGCCCAGCTTACCTATGTATACATATATGCATATACAAACACATATATGAATATTGCTTTTGATAAATCATAGAGAAGATGATGAGAGATTTTTTATAGGAACCAGGGGAAGTGAAGAGGGATCATAGGATCAGCTAGGAGGTGGTGAGTAGAGGAAAAGGTGTAAGGGGTTTTGGAATAGGTAATATGTAGAGGAGGAATTCAGCTCTCTTGGGGAAATGACCATGGAGAATGCCACAAGACAGGGACAAGTTGTGGGTGGAGGTGATAGTGAGTATTCATGGGTTCATGGACAACAACTGGGATGCTGGAGCTTCAGCTAGGACAAGTCAAGCTTCTCCTTGGAAAGCAATTAATGAAACTTGTATGATTGGGGTCTTCCTCATTGAAGGAGCAGTATCCATCACTTCTTTTGCACTTATTCTAAAAATGGAGCCATCTCTAAATTCTTGGTTCCTTCAAACTCAAGTAATGGCTTCAATTGGGATTTGGGCTTTCGAAGGGGTATAAGACTCTGAACTCCAGAATGTACTTACACTACAACTGTTGGAGGAAGTCTTTCTTGATTCCTTTAAGTCAGATAACCGAATTTGGACTAATACCCCTTCAGGCTCTTTTTCTTGTGGTTCCTTCTTCTAAGCCTTGTCCCGATCTTCATTTATCTCTTTGCCTTCTTTTCCAATTAAGGAGGCATGGTGTAAGCCTATTTCTCCTAGAATTGGTGCTTTTTGTTGGAAGTAGTCCATGAAAAGATTAATATTTGTGATTTACTTCAAAGAAAATGACCAAGTTGGTGTTTATCCCCCAATTGGTGTACTTTATGCAACGCTAATGGTGAGAGCTGCTATCACTTACTTGTCTTTTGTTCTTTTACTGCTCTTATTTAGGAATGGTCCTTCTCCTATTTGGGTGTAGGTGGAACCCTTTGGTGGATGTTCAAAGCCTATTTGCTCCATTTTTTTGTATGGCCAAAGATGAGGGGAAGACTTATGTGAAGATATTAAGAGCAGCAAAACTTGGACAATTTGGGAAGAAAGGAATTCTAGAATTTTTCTAGAGAAGGAGAGAAGCGAGGAAGACATAATGGAAACAATTACAATTAGAGCGGTACATTGGTTGAAATCTTTGGATTTAGTTTTAAATGTGTCAATGGATGACTTTATTATAAAGTGGAAGGAAGTGGCTGAATCTCGCTCAACTAAGTCCGTCTCAAATTACCATTGGTCTCCACCGGAAAGGGGGTCCATTAAACTTAATTTTGATGGAAGCAGTATGAGAAACCCATGATTATTAAGTATTGGTGTTGTATTTAGAGATGAGGAGGGTAAGATAATTGCTCTATACTCAGGACCAGCTGGGGAGGGCAATTCCCTTAGAGTAGAAATATTGGCTTTGATGGAAGGTGTTCAAAGTGAGAAAGATCTGAACATTGGGAAATTTGTTGTTGAGAGATTCAAAATTGGTAGTGAGCTGGTTACAAAGAAAGAAGTCAAAGCTATGGATATATAGCAATGAAAAAAATGAAATTTAGATGGTTGACAAGAGATATGGAAATCTCTTTCATTCAGATTAAACATTGTGCTAATTCCTTGGATGATACTTTAGCCAAACAAGGGTTGGGCAGAGAATCTCTATTTTGGGTGTGGGAAATCGCTTGGTGAGAGATAAGAGACTCTCTTTCTCTCTCTAAATTTTCTCCATTATAAAATCAAAAGCTTCTAGCAAAAATAAATAAATAAATCAAATTAAAAGTTGTATTGCCAATTTCATCCTTAGTCAAACAGTGTGAACTGTGGATTTTGCAGTATCCAAAACAAGGAGACCATTTAATATCCAATCATTTTTTAGTTGAGTACCTAACCTATTTGTGTTAATCCTTTAATTTTTTTCTTGGATTTGGAACTGCAGGTTGTATTTCCAAGTTTCGGCGAGCGGTATCTATCCTCTGTTCTTTTCCAATCAATAAGAGAAGAATGCGAGAAAATGCAACCAGAGCCATAAGAAGTAACTTATCCAAGCTAGTTCCTGTATTAAAGAAAATGGGATTTTCCTTTATACATTCTTAAGTTTGTTTTGTTTGGTGAGTCGATTGTTCCTTTACCTGCTACAAGAATAGCATGTGCTTCGGAGGCTGTTTTAGAAATAAATAATGTTTTTTAGGAATCTGGATAGCAAAGAAGCAATTTCAACCTACCATTTCTCTTCTACCTACTTTTTGATTGTACTCTTAGCTATAGTCTCAACTATTTATATGGGATGCTCTGATCCTGCCTTTTTTTCTTCTTCAAATCTCGTGTGTTTTGCATGGGTAGAAAGAATCAAGCATTCTTCACATTTTTCAGCAGACAGAATGTCTGATTGGATTTTTTTTAACCCACATTGCATCCGTGCATTGGGTTGCAAATGGATCAGCAGACACCGGTGGGATATCCCACTTACCTAGATCCATATCTGATTTGTTAATATTCGGATTTGAATTGAATATTATCCATCCAGTTTTGCTCGGATCCAGATTGAACTCGGATTGTATTTAAATATTGAATGTCATCAATAAATTAAACTAAAAATGACTTTGATATTGTATATTATGAACAAAATGAATTGAAAATAATCTCTAGTAGACTTGAACTAAACTAACTTTATCAATTATATAATATAGATTTTATGTAGATATAAACGCATATATGGATAAAATTGAATCCCAGCGATGGATCCATAGTTAATCCAATTATTATTTGTAAATGGGTTGGATTTGAATTATGCAAGGTTTAAAATTTCACATGTCGAGGTGTATTGTGGGGCATATCGTTCCATTCAGTTTAAATTATGTGGAACACATGAAAATACATCATATCATTCCTTCTTGTATGTATAAAGGGATATCGGGTGTATCAGTGGCATATCGATCTTGAAGAAAAAATGGTATGGAAGAGTGAAAGAAGGTTCTTAACACTGTCTAGAAGCTTTCTTGCACGTTCAAACCGTGCACCTTGCGATAACTTTTTATACAACCTAGGCACTCTAAATCTACAAAAATGAAATAACAAAGAACTATCCGAAAGCAAGAGTTTTGGCGGTAAACTCGTCTGGGCAGTTGCCAAAACAAAAAGAAAAAAAAATGAAGATTTGTTTGTTTTTCTACAAAACTAACAAATGGGTAGGTTCTACTCAGAATTGACTTCGAATCAGCTTTGAACTGACCCTACTCAATCTGGTTCCAAATTCTTGGAACCGACTCCACCTAGGTCGGTTCCAAGGTCTAGGGGAAACCGATGAACCGGCCTTGATTGGTCATGGTGAAATCAGCCTTGGAATCAAATTTGTTTTGAAATAAACCTCAAAATATTTCTAAGGATGTGAAGCTTTGAGCCCAAGCATTTGGGGTGAGCATTTGTTTTTTTTGGTTCAAAATCGAACAAAAAAACTGAAAATTTCAAAACCGATTTAATAAAGTGGCAAACCAAACCAAAACCAAAATATATAGGAACTGGTTAAACCTAATCGATTTTTTTTTTGGTTATTTCGGTTAAAACCAAAATTAAGTCAAGTCTTCTGTGTTCTATAAAAAGAGAGAAGAAGAAGAAGTTAATAAATACCTGTTGGCTGTTGTAAGCCTGTAAGGCTATAACTGGCGGTGAAGACTGAAGAAGAAGAACGATGGTTGACGGCAGCACGAATTGAGTCTGAGACTCTAAGTCTGCGGTAGTCGGAAGTTTGCCTGAGTGCAGAGTGCCTGGAGGCTGGAGCTGTCGGGCTGAGAATTTGGGACTTGGAGGATTCTTGATCTCTGCCTCTCTGGTCTGCTCTTGCTCTGGGGTTTGGAATAGACGATGAGATGAATAGTGGAACTGGAAAGTATGGAATGGAAGTCTGGACTCTGGATTCTGGAAGTGCTACAGTGTGGAAGACGAAGAGTCTTCTTTCTATTTTCGATTTTCTTGTTTTGGACTTTTCGACTTTTCGTGATCGTGTCTAATACGTTATTGGCTTATTTGCTAATTCGGTTTGGTTTTTCGGTTTAACCAAATTATGCTCACCCTTATTGCACTCATAGTTACAAAAGCCATGGTCTCACTTGACCATCGAATTACTTAAATAATTTGATCATTTATTTTCATTTTAATGTTTGTATGTATATAATAAATAGTGTAAAAAGGTAATATTTATAAAATTTAAATCATAATGACAAATTTTCAACCAAATATTAATATATTGTGATATTCTACATATTAAAGATAATATAACTTTTAAACTACATAGTATCATTATTGAAAATCAAGTTTTTGAAGGACATATTTCATTTTTTTTCTTCAAAGGGAATGGTAAAAAAAGAACAAGTTCCATGAATAGACCCTGGAACCAACCCGAGAACCGCCAAGGCCAGAATTAACCTTCACAGGATAGGTTGCTGGTGTGTATACACACACGCCTCATTCAAGACTTGTATATAGTTTCATTGGCATGATTTTATGATTTATTAGATTTTTCACACACACACATGACTCATTCAAGACTTATATATAGTTTCATTGATGTGATTTTATGATTTATTTGATTTTTTATTTATCCATGTGTATTCAAATCATATTTTGATATATCTCTTAAAATTATCTAACTTTACATTTCTAATACTTTAAACTTTGAAATCCCACTTAACCAGATCAAATTCAAATTTAAATTTGGGCAGATGATAACATTTATCCCAGATAACTCTTACGCAACTGCTCCCCATAAACAACATCATATTATATGGAGGGTGGTTATCTGATGCCTGATGGGCCTTCAATATATATGGATGACATAAACCATATCCAACCTAAATGGGGGCTTCCACCCGACATTGACCAGAGCCCAAAAGTCTTGCTATTCGAATATAGGGAATAGCAAATTTTAGCATCCAACAAATCGTTCCAGTCAACATCTTAGCAGTTATCCAGTTAGTAGCTTGACTTCTAAACCGTAGATGATGTCAAATTGGGTTACCGACCCATTACCTGTTAATATCCTATGATAAGCATGAACGAATATTTGACTATTGGACCTACGTTGAAGGTGTGGGTGTCACTGTGGATCAATTTGGATGGTACGTCTTATTAAAACTTCATTTTGCTTCATTTCACACGGTCTTTTGGTAGCCCAAGAGTCAAGACTGGTTAAGAATTTGGGTGTTAGGTGATAAAATGTTGGTGGATGGTATCGGAAAAGCTTGAATGAAATAATGAATTTAGACACATGGAAAAGCATCTTAACATTCAATACTTTGATGAAATTATTCTTAAAACTTCTGCATCATGATTTTTTAGTTAAACTAATTAAATATGTCGGCAAGAGTTTGGTGTTTGTTTATTGAAAGAGTCAGCAACCCCATTTTCATTAGACCAACAAATAAATAATGAATTTTGAAAAATAGGGGAGAGAGAGTGGAATTGGTTATGTAAAGCACTTATCAGCTTTTCAAGTATGACTGTAGAACCACTTCAATCCAGTGGATGCCAAACATGCATTCACAAAGAGATGTTTATTTAAGCCCACTGGCTAAAGTATTGAAATTAACTATATTGTTTGGTACACGGCTTGCTTGTTCTCTTTCTTAGGCATAGCTGTTCTGCCGACTTTCCTAGAATTGGAACTTAATAAAATCCAAAGCTTCATCAGCTTACCAACTTAGATTTTTTTTTTTTTGGTTTTGTCGACAAATCCATGTCAACAAAATTATATTACTTTTGCAAGAATGGCAGTTGTTTTTTATTTTTAGAAACAAAACCAACAAAGTTGTCGATTAGACCTGTTCATGGGCCAGGTAGTTGACTGGCCGGCTTGGTTCGACCCAATATTTTTCAGGTTTGAACAAAATTTTAGGCCCGCGGGCTCAGGCTTTTTCAAATAAGTCTGGCCTAGGCCCGAGTCCAATTTGATATTATTACATATAATAGAAATATACATTATTTATATATAATAAATAAATATATATAATATGTATTTATTTATAAAGTTATTATCAAATGTTGATTTTTTATTCAGAAAATATGAATTAATTTATTAAATTACACAAAAAATAAAACATTTTATATGCAGAACAAGCTTTAGGCTCAGGCCTGGACATTTTCTATTGATAAAGAGGCAATGCCCAGCCCGGCCCGTGAAGAGGTCAATAAGGCCATTTCCCATCTTATAATAGGAGCAAAAGTGAACTCCTTGCCCGCTACTCATGAATGACAGATTCCACATTGGGCTCCCTAACCAACCCACTTACTCTGGATATAGGATCTCCTCCCTACAAAAACTCTGCACGTGCCCTAAAACCATTGGCATTCACCTAGAGGTGTAAATCGGGTCGTGTTGTCTGTCACTCAACACGGCCCAATCCAACTTTGGACCGGCCTGGCACGGCCCAGTACGACGACGTGCGTGCCGTGCTAGGCCTAGCATGATTGTGTGGGTCGTGCTGGGCCTGGGGTTTTAGGTCTGTGGGCCAGGCCAGCATGGCATGATCGAGCTGACCATGCCACTTATGGCCTGCATGCCTACACGACCCATATATATTATTTATATATTTATGTATTATATAATATAATATAAATTATAATTATATAATAATATATTAATGAAATAAACAATTGTTTTCAATTTTATTATACTAATTTATTTAATTATTGTATATATCAAAATTCATATAAAATTAAAATTTTAAGTTTTTTCAATTTTTTTTTAAATAAATAGCTTTGGCCCGGCCCCCGGCCCATAGCCCGACCTGGCCCATGGCACGACACGACACGACATGGGCCTACACGGGCTTGGGCCGTGGGCTGTGCTGGGCCGACCCCCCAAGTTATCCCAGGGGAGGGCAGCATGGCCTAGGACGGCCGGCCCGACATGGTCCATTTTACACCTCTACGATCTACCTGCACCCACTGAGGGCCAAACATGAAAAAATGGGTTCGTTCTCTTCTCCCTACATTTCAAATGTTCATTGGCTGCACATGCTGATATGGTAAACAAAATCGTCTATGTGGTAGCTGGTGGGGTTTCTGTTCCTACTTCCTAGTACCAAAGGGGGCGGTTGTGGTCTATGTAGAAGCGTTTCCTCTGTGCTGGCCGAGGTATGTTCTTTGTTGAAGGCATTTGTTTATTGTTGTTGGCATGACTTGATGTTGTGGCATCATTTTGTAGAGGGTTCATATGATGTTCACCCCTAATGCTTAGATATAACATTTATCCAGATAAATTCACTTATCCATGTTCTTTTGATTCCTAAATAAGTTATATAATGATTTTTTACCCAG